GTCCTTCACGTTTTCTCTCTCCTCACGTTTCTATATATACAATATAGTACACAACACATTTTGTTATAAAATGATTTGTGTTAGATAATTTACAATGTTTACATAGTTATATACATATATGTTATATAGTATATGCATACAATTTTTTCACTAATTTTTATATAGAAATATTAATATACGTATATAAAAATATTAATATATATATGCATATTTACTTTTAATTTTATTTTTATATAAAACAATATTATATTAGTTAAATACATGTTCTATATACATTATTAATATAAATATCAATTATACCTACCAAAAAGAAATATATATATATCAAATAATTTATTTTAAAATTATAATTATAAAAAATGGTACAGCATAAATGTACTATCTACCAATCATACTTTAACTTTTGAATAGTTAGAACTAAAGTTCTAAAGTTACAGCAAAAACGTCTATATCCCAAATTTTACAGCAATTAATCTACAATTACAACCTAATCAATCACCCACTATCGTAAGAGGTTTAAAACCCATGTCACATGTTCCTACGCTGTTTTATCTTGCATGGTAAGTTCCCAAAATAGCACTCCAATGTCATAAATTGATCTTTGACAACCTATTTCTTTTCTTCTTTGTCAAGAAGCTGAGTCACCAATTTCGTTTCTTAATTTATCAAGAAATTTGGGTTTATAGTACAACAAATATTTCATTTTCTTATCTTCCGAGATGTTGTGTACTCATTATTAACTCTTGTGATTCGAGATCACGAACATGATCTCCATGTCCATTGCCCTACAAGATAGAATCTTAGAACTGACAGCATCCATCGCAACAAATTAACTTCGTCAGTTTTAGTTGTTTAGAAATTATATTTTATTAGAAATTCATCGGAAAAGATAGTTGAAAACCTGTCAGAAACTTCTGACTTACGAATGAAGGTTGTCCGAAGTATTTCCAACGATTTATCGACAGCTCTGTCATAAGAAAATCTCATCAAAATCTGTTGAAAATCTGTCGTAGAGTTGTTCGACGACATTCTGATGGAATGTTTTCCTAGGATTTTCGACGGATTCCAAGATTTTTTTTTATTTTAAATAAAAAATCGTTAGATATAAAAAAGGATTAGTTAGCTATATAAAAAAAAATGGTTAATTAGAAAAATGACAAAAGAAGGAGGGATTCCTTTATAAAACACTAGGGGATTTTGTTAAGGTTTTTTTCATTTTCCTAATTAACCCAATTTTTTTTGCTATCAACCCTAATTTCCCTATAAAAAATTAAAAAGTATATATTCTAAATTATATATGAAAAAATACATTAACTAAAACTAATATTTAGAAAACATAAAAACAATTCTAAATAAAAATTAAAATAACAATAAAAATACAAATTGTTTTAGAAAATAAAACCGAACTACTAAAATAGCTTGGAGAATTTAATCTTCATGATTTCCTTCATTTTGTTCAACTCCTCACGGGTCCAATTGTGTGTACCCTAACTCCTCGTGTTTCTTCTCAATTTCCACGACGTTCACATCGTGTTCCTGAACCACGCCTATAAGCCTCTATAACTCAAATAGATACTATGGCGGGAATGATCGAGAACCCGGAAAAAAAGATTCTGCTCGGAAGCTCAGAAGTTCACCTAATACATCAATTTGGCCCTTAACTTTTCAAATTTCCTACGAAAAATTATAAATATCATT